GAACCCACGCAAACACGGGGAGAACATGCAAACTCCACACAGAAAGACCCCGGCCTGATGTTGGAATTGAACTCAGGACCTTCTTGCTGTGCGGCAACAGTGCTAACCACCGTGCCACCGTGCTGCCCTACAGTACGTGTAGGGCAGCACGTGCTGTAACAGTAATCTAATTACCGTTTTTGCAATAGTAATCCCTTACTTTACTCAATGCTTGAAAAAAGTAATCGGATTACAGTAACGCGTTACTGCCCATCTCTGGTCGTGAAAGGTAAAGGTTAAGTTCGCCAGTCACTGACTCACTGGAACTATACCAAACTGTTATGTGCTTACAGTAATAACAAGGTTTGTTGTTCATTTCTGTGTGAAATAAAAACAGAAGCCTTTGTTGTCTCAGGTCAGTCAGAGGTGATTGGTCCAAATCAGCCAGTTGCGGCAACCGTTGGTGATGACATCATTTTGCCATGTTACCTCTACCCAACCATGGATGCTTCAGACATGACGATGGAGTGGAGTAGACCTGACCTGGACCTCAGATTAGTCCATGTGTGGCCAGAGAGACCTGAGTTACAAAATCCATCCTACAAGGGCAGAACATCTCTGTTTATTAATGAAATGAAAAATGGAGAAATTTCTCTGAAGATCTCCAGAGTAAAACCGTCTGATGAGGGAAAATACAGATGCTTTGTTCCAGACCTGCGTAAAGACTCTAATGTTCAACTTGTTGTTAGTAAGTGGATGTCTAAGTTATTTAGCTTCTTCTATTAAGAACAATTCATTTACTATTAAACATCAGCTAACATTGGCTAACATTAGCCAAAAGAATAGAAAACTCTGAAACTCAGAGTTGATAAGAAACAAGCCTTATCATTCATTAAGTTACACAACTCATTATCAGTTAGGAAAAGGTTGAAGTCAGAACTATGTTCAAAGTCCACCAGCTGTGAAGTGAGACAAGCCTCTTTTTCCAGGTGCCATCTCCTCACCTGTTATCAGCTTTGCACGCCTCAATAAATCCATCAGTGGAGTGGTGTTACAGTGTGAGTCTGCAGGCTGGTATCCAGAGCCTGAGCTGCTGTGGTTGGATGGTGAGGGAAACCTCCTCTCTGCTGGACCTACAGAGACCCTCAGAGGTCCTGATGACCTCTATACTGTCAGCAGCAGAGTGACTGTGGAGAAGAGACACAGCAATAAGATCACCTGCAGAGTCCAACAGAAGAAAATAAGCCAGAGCAGAGAGACACACAGACATGTTTCAGGTAAATCTAATGTTTTATTTAATGGTGTGAATTAAATTTTTGTGAATTGGGGGGCTGAGGGACACTGAAGAAACTTGGGGACAACAAGCAATGGCAAGTGCGTAAGAGAGGTGACAGAGGAGTATGCTAGGATAAGGAGAGATGGACGCATATGATTTGGTGACCCATAAAGGTCTGAGAGAACAAGTGTTAAAGATATGAATCAAAGAATGATATTTTACTAATTTATAAACAATGAATTATGAATTGTTCTATTAATTTCAGATGATTTCTTCTTGGTCAGTCCTTCTGGTCCACCCAGTCGTCCAATCAGTAATCCAAATGTCACTGTTGCCTCAGCTGTCAGTGTTGCTGTTGTTCTTCTTCTAATTGGTGCAGTTTTCTTTGTATGGAAGTGGAGAAGAGGCAAATCAGTAAGTCATTTTTTTTCTCTAAATGATGAATAATTGTGTTTTACCCTCTTAAATAAGAATAATAATAATTATTATTTCTCATATAATCAATCAATCTATCAAGAAATGATTTTATGTGTTACTTCTAAAATATTCCTGAATCCAGTGTGAAAGATTTAAAGGTATCTGTCAGCACAACAATCACCTGAAGAGTAGAATTGTTGTCTTCTTGACCCTAAAAATGGTTCAGTTCCACAGAGTCTGCTCATCATTGTTTATTAGTAGAGAAACTCAAAATCCACCAACATTTCTAGTGTATTGTATTTTTTGGCTGTAAGAATGTATTTTGGCTTGAATGAATGAATGAAATAAAAGAAAACCATATTCAGAAACTGTTACCAACTAGGAA